GGCACTGAGGCAGGTGTCCAGAGCCAGGCACAGCTGGTCAAGCTGTTTTTCTTGCACACTGAGAGTGTGGAGCAAGGCCCAATACTGCTCTGGGAACCATTTAGATACTGTTTGTTGGGATCACACCTCACATAAGAGCCCTGATGGGATGACTCTTGAACAAGACTGCTTCATTTCTTCTTCATCCCCTTCCTCCCTTTTCCAAATCAGGGGGCAGGTAAAACCAGGGAACAGCTCCAGGCCCCTACCCACCTGCACACCCATGCCCTGGGAGTCCTCAGACACCCACATCACTGAAAAGAAAGAAACCAGTACATACCTCTCATTCCCAGATATCTTGTCTCTCTTTGAAGCCACAGATTATCTTTAATAACCTAAAATTAACAAAGAGAACAATAACAAAAAAGGAACTATTTTCATAAATGTCTAATACTGAACCCTCACACTGAATTTATGCTTCACAATTAGACAGAACTCCTTTTCACAAAGTTTCGAGTTTCCCAAAATTAACTACCATAAGAGACACAACATGATTCTAGAGACTCCCACAGCTTGTCAAGAGGTACAAGACTCTGCTGTCTTACCTAGCATGGCTGTGGACGCTTGGGGCTCACATTGTACCTACACTCAACATGAGGCTGAGCCTTTCTGCAATAGTGGAGCAGGATGGTTTGCTACAAAGTATTAGCTTGTTCTTATAAAGTAATTTATCTTGACATTTTCAAAGGCAGAACTCAGGACACTGGAAAATACCATGACCTGGAGTAGGAATGTGTCCATATTGGATGATCAAATCTACTGACATCACACTCATTTTTCCTTCAAAGTATCACACAGAGACTTTCAAAGGGACCACAGGCTAAAAACTGCAGCTTACCAGCCAATCTGTGATGGCCTCCTGCCTGTGCCCAGACTGCAGAGATTGCTACAAAAATCACAGCTCTAAAATGTCAGTCAAAGAAACTCGTGTTTTTAAGCATTACTAATGCCCAGTGTTTTGATCAAGATGTAGTAGTCACACAAGCAACATTTCATTTAAGAAAAATGTTTCCTCGCAGGAGATAATACAGAGTTAGGAATGCCAGCTGATTAGCAGCAATTGTCTAAATCTGGTGAATGACATGACCTGCACTTGCTGTTTCTGTTTGCCCCCAAGCACTGCACGTGAGAAATGTTAAGTACTGACTTATGTCAACACTACTGTTGAAGTACAGCAAGTTAGGGGCAATTTTATTCTTCACCTGCTCAGGGAAGCCAACGCTTTGATTATTGCTAGAGTTCTCACTTCAGATAGGCCACTTTCCCTCAAAAGAATAGAATATGAAAGACATCTCACAAATTTGGATGCACCAGGAGACCTGGATTTTAAGCACACGCTGCTCTGGGAAACAAGTATGTATAGGATTGCAGGCAGCTCTTGTGGAAGAAGAGATAAACACAAGCAAGAATATGCAGGACATTCTGAGTAGCCCTGGGATGCAGTTCTGTGAAACCCCCGGCACCAAGATCTTCACTAGGAATCACCTGCAAATACCTCATTGTACAGCTCTCCCTGCACTCCAGATTTCTTGTACACAAACTGAGTTACGCCAAAGTTCTCTAATGCCATACTGCTCTGATGCATTGTATCAGCATCTGAATGAATGTGATTGTGTAATGTCAACAGCTCCTTTGTAAATGAGACTGTAACAAAAGTAGACCGTCCTCTAAGCACACATAAAGACATGCAGAAAATGTGTCTTGCTAGCTAACAAGCTTTATTTCCTACATCCTGGAAATCAGTGTAAAAATGGCTTCCAATTTCCACCGACTCTAGGCATTCACTCATCTGTGGTTCTATAACAGTTTATGCACAAAACCCTACACTGTATGTCCACGTGCGTCAACTACTAATGACTTACTGGGCTCCTTGTTTTTTCTTGTGCCTTATCTGACATTCAGTTTCCAGCAGTCTGCACTGGAAAATACAGTCTGGATATCTGGCACAATTCTTCCACTCTGCTGCAGAGGTCATCTGTAATACCAGAGGGCACCGCGAGGGGCTCCGCATCAACAAATGGTGCCAATTCTACGGGTCAGCACTCATATCAACCTTCAAAAGTAATTAATTTAATGCAGTAATACTGTCAGTAGGCATTTTCCCAAGTTTTACATTCATTTATTATTCTGGTGGAAAAATAAGGCGTGGTTTGGTTTGGTATTTTTCCTGCAATATTATTTCCTGCTGATTAGTCTGCTTGTTATCACACCTCAAACCGTTGTTCGTGACTCCCTCCATTGCCCACTGCGGTGCCTCAAGTACCCTCCACATGGGCAAAAGAAGACTGCATTGACACTTTCTGACACAACTTCATTGGGAATGAATGAAAAATAAAAGTTGCATCCTAAAACGCAAGTGGAATTCCTAATGGCGGGCTGGTACCAGCGGATAACAGTACCATGACTCGGTACCAAACGCCTCTGGTCCAGAAGAGCAGCCAAGCGGAGCCACTGTCGGCACATGGCACGTTGCAGGGCCCCACCAGCCGACCCTCGGCAGCTCTCCGAGCCCTTGCCCCCGGCCCAGGCGCCCGGGAAGCGCCCG